CCACCCCCCGCCACCCAGTATAATTTCCATATCTATTGACTTTCCACTTTTAGAGCAGGTACAGACATTGTCAAAACAGGAGCTGTGCCAAAGTCACTGTGACCCTGTTGCACCTAGCTATGCTTTAATTGCAATATGAAAAAAAAGCACATGCTTCCCTGAACCGTAAACCAGGTCCAAGCTTCTCTGAACACATAAAAATAGGCAAAGAAATACTGAACAAAATGGAAGAAGTTCAGGAAAAGAGCACATTTACACTGCTTGGCAAAGACCTGGCTTTCAGGTGCCTATTTATATAACAAAGCTACTTTGTCCTTGTTACACATTGTTTACTGTTCAATACCGATATCCTTAATGGAGCTGCAAAGCACACTGAGTTCTGAGCATGTAATATGTAAATAAGAGATCAGCTCTGGCAGCTCCCTCTTTAATAAGCACGCCTTCGATTATAAGGGCAGGAGGCATAATTACGAACTAACCAGCAAACTTGAATACCTAAATCCTCCCACAGCTACAAACCACACTGAGATCTCAGTTCTCCCGAAACTGGTATCTACCAGTTTCTTTATGGTAGTCCTGGATTTTTAAACATTCAGAGCACCTCAGAAAAAGGCAGACCAACACGCACAGCAAACACACCTGATTATCTACCGCATGCGTTTGTACAGACAGTTCTCATAGCCATGTACCCGACGACAGTTAATGCAGGCTGTTGTGACTGTGTAAGAAGCACATGTGCGCATTTTATAAGATCTAGGGCCCCGACTGAGAATTTACTGCTTAGATTTTGCTCTGCTGCCTTCAGCCGCACCAGGGAGCGTTTCTGGACGCTGCACGTACCAAGAGATGGCAGCATTTCACTTCCAAGTGGCCCGCACCTTCCTGAGGAAAGAACATGAAAAGGTTGAACACGTAACTGCCACCCCCTGTTCAAATTTGAATATTGGCTGGCTAGCATTTACGCATTATTACCTCTTCAGGTAGAATTTTATCGGCTTTACGCTGACTTTCGTATTACGTTCCGCTAAGAGAACTTCTTCAGTAGCACTGCGTGTGTCGCTACCAAAACTACGGAGCTATTTAAAGCCCAAATCCCTCGCAACGGCCTCGCAGGAGGTAGGATCAAGGTCTGGAAGGCAGGGACGGAAGCAGCACGAGGCCGCGGGGTGAGGGAGGCGGGGGTTAGTGCCCATCCCGGGGCACCTCTCCTCAGAAGACAGGGCACCATTTGCTGAGCAAGGCAGCTGTTTGCTCTGAGGAGGGCCTAGGCTTTCACGTTTTTTTTTAAATTGAGCAGTCCGTACTAACAACAACAGCGCGACTATTAAAGAAAAGAATACCGTTCTCTCCGAACGTTACTAAAAGGCGGATAAAGGCACCCAACCAC